ACGCCACTGCAGCATATCCTCGTTGTGAAGCATCACAAAATACATGAAGATCATGCTTATGCTCTCCTACGGTCGGTCTCAAACATCTGTTTATAGAGACATTCCTCAACTGTGGCAGTTCTTCTAACCAATGGGTCCATCTACTCAAATCCTGCGAGCTTACTTCTTGGTCCCACCCTAAACCTTGTGTACAGATATCTTGCAGCAGCATTTTCGCGACAAGGATAAATGGGGCCACAAATCCCAAAGGATCATACACAGAACTTGTTGTAGAAAGGATACCTCTTCTCGTGTTTGGCCTTTCTTTAACCTTGACGTTGAATGTGAATTTATCAGTTTCCACGTTCCATGAAACACCTAGTGTTCGCTCAACTGGTAGCTCCTGTAAGTCCAAGTTAAATACTGTTGCTGCTGTTTCTGACTTGGGTATCTTCTCTAGAACCTGACGATCGTTGCTAAGCCATTTAGTCAATCTGAATCCCCCCTTAGCTAAGAGTTCCCTTAGCTGACTAGACAGTTCAATAGCCTCCTCAGTAGTTTTAACCGATTTTAAACAATCGTCAACGTAAAAGTTATTTCTTACAGTTTCTACTGCTGCAACGTTATGTTCCGATTCATTGTCAGCTGCTGTTCTCCGCAACGCATATCCTGCACAACTTGGTGAGGATGTGGCACCAAACAGATGTACCAGCATCCGATACACTTTGGGTTCTTCCATGAAGTTTCCATTCGGCCACCAAAGACATTGAAGAGCGCCACAGTCTTCAGGGGACACCTTTACCTGATGAAACATAGATTGTATATCAGCGACCAGCGCTACTTTATCTTGACGAAATCTGGTTAAAACCCCTACCAGGTTATTTGTGAAATCTGGACCCCTCAATAGTTGACTGTTGAGTGATACACCTTTATATTTGGCGGCACAGTCGAACACTATCCGAACTTTGCCAGGCTTATGTTGATTTATCACAGGGTGATGAGGTAGAAACCATGTCTTGTTTGACATTACTTCTTTCCTTTCTACAACAGGTTGCTTGGCCTTCACTTCCTCTGCAAACCCATTATCTATGTAGTCTGCCATCGTAGTAGAATAACTTTCATGAAGCGCTTTGTCTCTCATGAAACGCCCCTTCAGACACTGTAGTCTTTTATCTGCCATCTTCCTATTGTCTAGTAAGATTGGTTCATCATATTTCCATGGAAGCCCGAGTTGGTAGTGACCATTTACTTTAACTGTTGACTCTTCCATACAAGCCCTTGCTCTCTTGTCTTCAATTGATTCGCCTAACTCGATATCTTCAAAAACAGATCCACTGCTATCTGTCTTCCAGAATCTCTCCAATTGTTCCATAAGTTGATCATCACCGTGACCACGTCGAGCAAAATTCACCTTCAAATTGGGTCTACCTTGCTTTGAATTGGTTGGTCCAATTAACGTCCACCCCAATGGTGACTTTGTTGCGTATGGCTCTTTCTTACCACCACGCCTCTTTTCTATTACCCAGAATGCCTCTGGCACATCACTTCCTATCAGTAGCATCACCTCTTTATCCTTTATGCAAGGGAATTTAATTCCATCAAGATGTTTCCATTTTTTTGAGTCTTCCTCTTTCGGCATACTACATTCTGTGGTAAGTTCTCCACAGTTCATACCGAGTCAAGAATAACTGGTTCCGTTTGATGTAGTCCAGTAACTGTTAGACCTTCTAGTTCAATTCCTTTGACCTTTACATTTTCCTGGCCCACTGTAGTCATATGAAATTCTTTCTGTCTGCCAGTTATACCTAATCTTTGTTCTAGCCGATGGTCACACAATGTAACGTCACTGCCATCATCGAGTAACGCCCAGGTCATAACCTTCCCTCCATTACCAGCAACACTTACTGGCAGTAGCCTGAGGCACACCTTGCCACGTACAATGGTCGAAAGATTTGTCATATTGTGTGTTGCTTCACCTATATGCAGAAGAGCATGGTGTTTCCATTTGCATCCATTAACCAGGCAGTTTGAATCTTTACGGCACTCTCTTGCAAAATGTGATCTTCCAAACCAGTTGTCACATAGCCTTCCTCTCCGTACGATTTGTAGCCTCTCCATAGGGTTAGCTTTACCGAACACATGACACTTCTCAAGTTGGTGTTCTCCCAAACAAGCTGGACATTTCGCCGTTGAAGTATCTTGCATGCGCACATCTTCTCCCCTGACAGCAAAAGTTGATCTCGCAGACTTACTCTTAATGGGTTGCACTTGCTCTCGCCTAGGAGACTTCCCTATGTTTTGGTCAAACATGTTATTTGCCAATCTAGCTGCTTCTTCGATAAAGGTTGTCATGCCTTTGAAGTCAGGTGCCATATTTGCTTCCATAACCGATTGAGCTTTCTTAGCCCATTTCGTCTGGAGGTATAGTGGTAGTAGTTGTTGTACTTTGAGAAGGGTGTGAGAACTATTCATATCTGCAGAATAAGACATTTGTTCAAGCACAGTTTGGCATCTTTTCATATCTCTGCCTAAGTCCCACATTCCAGTACCATCATTAGGTCTAATTTGGGGTCGGTTCAAAACCTTCTTTAAATGGGCCCTTGCAATCAGATGTGGCTGTCCAAACTGTTCCTTCAGGATTAGCTTGGCCTGTGCGTACCCCTGCGACGCCTCGAGTAGCACACAATTTTCAATGCTACTTTTAGCTTTACCTGTACAGAACTGAATAAGATAGGTTAGTCGGGCCCTGTCATCTGTGGCCCTACGTGCAATATTAACATCAAATGCATTTGTAAAATGCCAGTATTCAAATGGATTACCATCAAATGAAATTATTTCTGGTTTAGGCATATTAAGACTAAGCCCCAAGGTTTGCAACACTTGTGTCAAACCAGACTCTTTATCAACAGTATTAACATATTCATTTTTAGTATCATTTACAATTTCTTCCTGAGGCAATTCTACAGGGATTACATTAACATCATTTGTGTTACTAACATTTTGATACATAGGTCTATTAGACATATCTTCACCTATTATTTGAGGTGGAAAAGCAATTTCATCATCGCTGTTAACACATACATCATCTATCTCATTTTCAATTTCCTCCCCCCACAATTGATATTCGGCTTCAGCCTGTTCTACTTCATTTTTTGCTTCTACAGCAGCCATTTGCTGCTCTAATTTTACCTTCTGTAAAGTAATTTCATGGGACCTGGCCAGTTGCTGCACTTTGAGCTTTGCCATCTGTATCCTCACTCTGGCTTCTTGTAACTTCACTGTAGCAACACTTGAGCGCCTCGATGTTTTACTGGTTACCGATGTTGCACTGTTTCTCCTTGATCTTACACTTACTGGGCTTAATGATAGTTCCTTTTTCAGTTTTCTTTCCTTTGGCCTTGCACCCGAACTGATTGGCCTTGATGCTCCATCAATTTCATGCTTTGAGTTCGTTGACTGCCTTGATGTAGGCCTATCATCACCTTCGAGGTCACTAGTAGGAGTCGTTTGTAGCTCCTTTGCCGCTGCGTTCACCCACTCTCTCACACGTTGATCATTGCCCTCCATCCTCGTAGATTTCACCCAAACAGTATCCATATAAGAGGTGAACTCAGTTGTGAACTTATGTAGCCTCGCCTCGTGTGACTACAGGGGTTGTACACGTTCGAACAGACTCACAATTCGTAACAACTTGGTTTTGTAGTTTTTAATCATGAAGTCGTTCACAACTGTTGTTCAACCCGAACTTTGTATCAATTAACCGAGACAGCACCTATCGAAGCCTCGCTCCGCCGTCTGCCTGACGTCAAGTGACGCTCACAAATAAACTTTAATCAAAACTGAAGGCGTCTTCTTAAAGAAATTATAAATAGCCGCTACATTGACAATAACATAAATATGAAGAACTTTTATAAATAATATGATGCTAATATAAGAATAAGTCATTATGAGAAATGTGCCAAAAAATTGTCAAATCAAAAGGGATTAAAAATAAGCCACTTAAACATTAGAAGCATAAAAAACAAATTGGATGAATTACATTTCTTATTAATGAAAACAAAACTTGATATACTTTGCATCTCTGAAACCTGGTTAGATAATGATATACATGACAAACAAGTAAATATTGAGAGATATACTATTATTCGTAAGGACAGAAATTTTGAAAGACGGAAAAAACATAAACGGAGATGTGGTGGCGGGGTCTGTATCTTTATTAAGGAAGGAATACCATACATGGAGAGCCAAAACTTAAACAAATATAGAAATCTCGAAACCATCTGGATTGAATTATCAATGAAAAAACAGCAATTTTTTTATTGCCTGTGTCTATCGCCCTCCAAACATCAAATACACTAAAATTAGCATCAAATGAAAATAAAGAAATCATCTTACTTGGAGATCTAAAATACTAAATACAAGCAAGACTTCAACATGCATTGATCTTATCCTGAGCACTATTGCAGATCTACATGTCCTAACTGACGTTGCAAATATTGCACTTAGCGATCATTATTTAATTTATACATGCATTAACACAAACATATCCAAACCAATGCATAAAACACATGCTTTTCGAAATTACAAATCATTTGATGAGAGCAAATTTATTTCTGACCTAACAGAATGTATTATTTAAAAACCTGAACAAAGACGATGACACTCTAACTAAATGGAATAAAAATTCCTTCCTTAAAATAAGCGACAGACATGCGCCCATAAAAACAATGAGAGTAAAAGATCGATTTAACCCCTGGATGACTCTAGACATTATCAACTTGATTTATGAACGTGATTATGTGAAGTGTTTAGCCGATAAAAATTGCCCTGAGAGCCTTTTAGATGAGTACCGCACACTAAGGAACAAAGTCACGAATTATTATTCGGAAATCCAAATCTAATTATTTTAATGAGGTTGAAATCAAATATAAACAAAACCCAAGAAAATTATGGAATGCACTCAACAAAGCCACTGCTAAAAATAAATACTCTAACAACATTCCCCCTGATTTAGGTTGTAATGATTTCAGTAAAAACTTTGCATCGGTACGGATATCTCGAATTCAATAAAAGGTAAACCAGCAAAATGGAATAATCCAAGTTGCCTCCATGCCCTTAAATTTAGCAAAATTTCAGAAGAATACATTCAAAAGTCGCTCATATTATTATCGGAAAACAGCAACCTGGATTTATTTATGTTTGGTACAAATTAATTACTTAAACTCGCCTCATCATTATGTGATATTATAAACGAAACATTAGAAAATGGAATAATCCCTGTAGACTGGAAACTAACACGGACTAGTCCAGTATTCAAAGATAAAGGTGATAAACAAAATGCAAATAATTATCGCCCTATCTCAGTGGTATGCCATATTGCAAAAATTGTGGAAAAATGTGTCCAAATCCTAATCCTAAATTATTTAAACGAAAGTCATCTAATAAATATCGATCAACATGCTTTCAGAAAACACCACTCCACAGTTACATGCCTACATAAAGTTATCGATGACTGTCTCGAATCAATGAATAATAATGAAGTGACAGCGGCATGCTTTCTCGACATTTCAAAATGCTTCGATACAATTGATCACGGATTGCTTTTAAATAAACTTCAACATTATGGTATTATAAACAAAGAACTTAAATGGTTCACCTTATACCTGTCCGACAGAAAACAAATAGTAAAATGTCACAATGAATATTTAAATCCACAGTTTTTGAAAATTGGTATACCACAGGGTAGTGCTCTGGGACCTATATTGTTCCTCAATTTTATAAACGATATATCCCAATCAATATCCCATGGTAACATCAGTGTTTTTGCAGATGATGTTATTTTATATGTTTCGGAAAAGTCAAATACTGAAGCTAACTCAAAATTACAAAATATTCTTGATAATATTCAAAAATGGTACATAGGAAATAAGCTAAAAATTAATGCTGATAAAACTAAAGTTATGTTAATCAGGAACAAGTACAATATACAACATGATAGCTTGAGAATCCAAGTCGATCAAATAAAAATAGAACAAGTTAAACATATAAAATATCTAGGCATTGAAATTGATGAACACTTAAAATGGGATTATCACATTCAAAATATAAACAAATCGGTTAGCTATAAAATCCATATGTTAGGTAAATTGGCGAAAACCTTCAATAAATCTCTATTAGTAAACCTATATATAACTACAATTCAACCATGTATTGTCTACTCAATCTCAGTATGGGGAAATACATCAAACAAAAATAAAAAATACTAGATGGTCTGATTCACTTAATGTTATACCACCAGTTTCAAACTATTCGCTATGGAAAGTTCCTTTAAAACTGTTAGGGATAAAGTGTGGAACAATTTACCTTTTTCTATTAAACAATGTACTTGCATAAACAGTTTTAAATCACAATATAAAAAGCATTTCTTCAATGATTGATGGATTTTTTTTCTAATTGTATAGGCCTTTTTATAGTTTTTCTGCTGTTTAATTGTTATTTTCTTGCATTATAAAAAATTGGAAATTTTAAAAATTGGCCTTTTATGGTTTTCTGCTGTTATGATTGTCTTTCTCTTTTTTCTTATATTTGATTGATGATAATTCTTCTTTTTTCCCGATGTATATATTTATCTCATTTTATTTTATTTATTTTTTATTGGGCTAATACAGGACC